GGTTGGTTTTGAACCGTGACCTCCAGATCTCAGCTTCCTGAATAGCTAGAATTACAGGTGTGAGCCACCAGCTCTTGGCCCTCATTACTATTTTTTTTGGGGGGGGATCCAGTCGTGGGGCCTTGAACTCTGGGTCTAGGTGCTGTCCCTCAGCTCTTCAGCCCAAGGCTAGCGCTCTACCACTTGAGCCACAGCGCCACTTCTGGCTTTCTCCTTTTTGCTTATGTGGGGCTGAGGAATCGAACCCAGGGCCTCAGGCATGCAAGGCAAGCACTCTATCACTGAGCCACCTTCCCAGCCCCCACTCATTACTATTTTTATTTAATACAAAATAACTGGCCTAGAGTTTCTCTGGCCTTATTTCTTTGCAGATGATGTGATCTTGTAACTAGAATATCCTGAAGAAGGCATGTGCACACGTGCACCTACAGAGAGAGAGAGAGAGAGAATGCAAAAAACCAATCAGCTACTCAACTGTAGAGTTCATTTTTTTATTTTGCAGAACTAGCATTATAACCCAGGGCCTTGTACTTACTGCTAGGCAAGCACTAAGCTATGTATGTATGTAAGCACTCCAGCCATGTATATTCTAAAACTGGGAGTTTCATGCTACAAATTTTGGCTTAAATTTATAAGTTTTGTGATTTTCTTTAACTGATGAGTAAGCTTTACAAATAATGACTTGGGCTTTCACTGTATGTATATTTTATACACACACCCATTGATGCTGTATACGCATGAGTTCTCCCTCATGACTGGTCCCACTTATGCAACTTTAGACAACAACTTTAGACATCAGACCTGTGCACATATGATCAGTAATAGCAAACACTTTCTACGTGATGGATGTGACTGTATGTGGGTAGAGATTTACCATGTCAATCTCTTATTTCCTAATTCTATCTTTTCTAGAACAGAAAGATTGATAACATACAATTGTGAAACTTGTCCATTGCTGACTGGCAGTGGCTCATAAAAATGCAAAAACATAGTTATAAGAGAATTTAAAAAATCAAAATAAGCTGATTGTTTCATTTCTCAACAATTAAAGAAATGTCCTGGGCATCATATAAAGCATTGGCTCTGAACCTTTGTCCTGCCTGTTATTCAGGGAGAATAAGCTGGAGTTTTAACACAAGAGGGAATCTTGATGGTAAGCCTATTTGTGACAAGGATTTCCAAGTACCTTGGGAATAAGCAAAATAAGGAATCTCAGTAGGAAAATGTTCATATTCTAGACATACAGAGAAAAGATTAATTACAATATTCCCTCTTGGAAGCAAACTGGATTGCTACTTTTGTTTTTGTTAATATGTCCTGGCTTTTAGAAATCATGAACTCGCTAATCTCTAATTAGATAGAGAAATATAATGATCTACTGTTTCAATTATTTAGAACAACAAAACTACTGCTGTGAATATATTAAAATTCCTGGAAAGAAATCTAGCAGCCATGGGTATATCATTATCTGGTATTTGAGGTTTGATGTTTAGTTTAAAGCATTTCTTTACCATTTTTGTAATTCTTGTAGATGATGGCACTAGAGTCAAGACAGTATAATTTAATATGAAATGGAGAGGTATTCAGTCAAGATTCAAAACTGGTCGGGCACTGGTGGCTCACACCTGTAATCCTAGCTACTCAGGAGGCTGAGATCTGAGGACTGCAGTACAAAGCCAGCCCAAGCAGGAAACTCCGTGAGACTCTTATCTCCAATAAACTACCAGAAAACCAGAAGTGGCGCTGTGACTCAAGTGGTAGAGTACCTGTCTTTAGCTGAAGAGCTGAGGGACAGCGCCCAGGCCCAGAGTTCAAACTCCACAAATGACAAAAAAAAAAAAAAGATAAAAAACTGCATGCATATCAAGTACTGTAATTTCTTAAGTAATAAAATTTGGTATCCTTTGCAAATACTTCATTATAAAATGAAGAGTTTGGTATGTTGAACTTGTCTTCTTTTATTTTTTGGTGGTAGTAGGATTTGAACTCAGCACCTTGTGCTCGATAGGTAGTCACTCAACCACTTGAGCCACACCCTCGGCCTTCTTTGGAAGTGCACATCCACCCTTGGTGATCTCAGCTTTGTCCTGGGATCTATGGAAGTCTCCAGAGTCTCATATCCTCATGATGGAGTTCAGATATTACCCCCAACTATTGCTTCTTGCTGATGTTGCTATATGTGCCTGGGTTTCTATATTTTTGTCCCCAGAGATACCTCCTTCTCATAACCCAAGTTAAAACTGCCAGCTTTCTACTTACTATTATACACAGAACTTTTTTTTTTTGTGCCCGTCCTCGATCATGAACTTAGGGCCTAAGCACTGTCCTGAGCTTCTTTTGCTCAAGGCTAATGCTCTAACAGTTGGGCCACAGTGCCACTTCTGGCTTTTTAGTGGTTAATTGGAGATAAGAGTTTCACAGACGTTCCTGCTCAGGCTGGCTTTGAACTGCAGTCCTCAGATTTAAGCCTCCTGAGTAACTAGGATACAGGCATCAGCTCCCAGTGCCTGTCTAGAACTTTTTTCCCCCAACAGTCTAAAGAATTGATTCTCTATTTTTCTTTCTGTTCTTTCCACCCAAAGTACATGGTAGATTCTTTCATAATGGGCTCAGTGTTGCATTTGACAGGCTAGTTTTAAAAGGGGTGATACTTAAAGAAACATTCCAGTGTGACATTGATGTCTTGCCTATGTCCATGCCATTTACATGAAACTTAAGACTAAAGTAGTACTTTAAGAACAGAAATGCCTTATACTCAGCATGCACTAGTACATTTCTTGGTGTGGAGGAGTTGTGATAATATGGAGTCTTGCTTCCTGGTTATTGGAGGGTGGATGTGTGTGTGTGTGTGTGTGTGTGTGTCTGTCTGTCTGTCTGTGTCTGTGTGCTTGTGTGTGTGTGTGTGTGTTTGTGTACACATACCCATCCACTTGGATCATAAATAGCTATATAAGATTGCTCATCTACATAATGGAAGTTATCTGTCAGTGGAAGAATCTGTGTGCAACCTATGAATAAATTTCTTTCCAAAATATCCAAGCTCCATAGAAATACTGATTAACATCAACACCATGATAGAAAACATCTGTAATAAACAGGAAGTTCAGTGACTGGATGGTGAATTTCCATTGGTTGTATTAGTATGCTTCGGAGAAATTAAAGACTTATACTCTGTTATTACTATGCTGTGGCAGTTTGGTTCCACTCCATTTGTCCTAAATATCAGACTTGGCTTATCTAGGATAACTGCTCTGTGGGAGAGGTTATAAAATCTCATAACACTCAGGCCAGGGAGTTGGCATGCTATAGAATGGACCTATTTATTGCCACCCGAATGGCCTCTACCTATGGATAAGAGAACAGGACTTTGATCTACAAGAAATTTCCAGACTCAATGTAGTGAGGAGTCTTTCATTTCTTCATTTTAATCATCTAGATGGGGAAGGCATTTAATCCTGGCAACATTTTTATTTGCCCAACAGCAGTAAAATTTAACTGCTACTTCCACTGTGTATGTGTGTGTGTTCCCCTCTCTTTCTATATGTGTATATGTGTGTATACATACCTACATCATATATATATATGTGTGTGTTAGTGTGTGTGTATATATATATATATATATATATATATATGATGCATCAGTATTTCTCAGCAGCCTGTGTAACTGGTTTGTTTCAGAAATCTTTATTGAATGTGTCTCTGCTGAGCGTGGTCATATTGATGTTAATGGTTTCTTTTTTAATTTTGCAGTTGGTAATCAGTGGATAAATTACATTTCATTCTGTGGTCTTAGAACACATGCCCAGCTTGAGGGAAATCTAGTCACCGAGCTTATCTACGTCCACAGCAAGCTTCTTATCGCTGACGATAACACGGTCATTATTGGTAAGTCAGTCTATGGGTGTGGTCCTTGGCAGCAGTCATAACCCAAGCCATGCCTCCTCCTCCTTATTCTTCCATGCTTCTTTGCAGTTGAGAGAACTACAGGGGTATTATCCCTGAAGTGTTCCTGAAGCAGTCATTTTGTCTTAACATCCTTTTGAATCCAATTTTAGGCAGAAAGCATCGGTGATGCAGAGCAGTGAGATGAACCCTGTGCACATGAAGCTGTTCACACGCAGTGGCTTAGGATGACAGTCTTAACAATCTGCTTGATTCGCTAATTCTTTATTGCTCCTTTATTTTTATTTTTAATGTAAGTGGCTAGGTTTCTAAGTTGGAGGGTGTGAAAGTGGACAAGAAAATGTGTCATGAAAGAGTGGCCAGGTACTGGTGGCTGCGCCTGTCATCCTAACTACTTGAGAGGCTGAGTATTGAAGGATCACAGCTAACTTGGGCAGAAAAGGTCTCAACTTACTGCTGGGCCCAGTGGTATGTGCAGTCCTTTTCAGCTACTTGGGAGACTGAGATTGGGAGCATCACAGTCCCAGACCAGCCTGGGCAGAAAAGTCAGTGAGACTTTGTCTTCATGGAGAGATTAGGTTGGATGGGGTGGTACCCACCTGTGACTCCAGTGACTCCAGGAAGCTGAGAATAGGTGGGTTGAGGTTCAGGACATACCTGGACAGGAAGTAACCTGTAAAAAAAAACCAGGGCTGGAGGCATGGTTCAACAGTGTCATATCAGCCTCAGTAAAAAAAATATTCTAATGAATAACTTGTAGGAATTTTCAGGTGTTGGTATCCACCCAGCCATTCCCATAGATCTGAAGTTATATAAACCAAAGTCAGAAGGATATTAAGATATTGCTGCCTGTAGCTACTGCATACATTTCCCTAATGTCTGTGTTTTGGGAGTCAGTAAACAGAAGGCACCAGCCAGCTGAGTTGGTGTGGGGGAGAGATGAGGAGGAAGGGAGAAGGAGGGGTGCACACTGAATGAAGTGCTGTCCCCTGCAGTAAGGTCAGCAGTCTTTCTGGTCAAGGACATGCCTCGGCCTCTGGCCACTGGCTGAGTCAGGTACTGCTCATAAGTTCCACCCAGATTGCAGCCACTTGGTCAGCGAGGTGGCGGTGCAGCCTCACTCCCATTTTATATACACTAAAGGCTTCATTGCACAAGCTGGGAATTGTTTCTGCCTCTTAATGTTACGTTCATGAGCACAGGAAGGCCAGAATGTAACAGAGTATGAGTAAGTAGCTCCATTACTGACTTGAGGCCAGGGTAAGGGCATGTCACTGGATGCGTGTTGTCCACCAGCAGGAATTCTGCTCATCTGCTCTAAGTAATGGATAGTTTCTCAGCTACTGTCAGATAATCCCCCCTTCTTCAATGTCATGAAGTGTTTGGAAATTTTCTGGCAGTGAATACGCCTTTTCCATTTCCTCTGAGAAAAGAAAAGTCTCGTCTGTAATAATAGTAATGATGCTGTCTTAGCAGAAGGTAATTACAAGCATAGTTCTAAAGCAGAAAATATAGAAATCATGGTATATGTGCATGTGGGCATACTTACAAACATACATGCATATATATACATACGTACATATACACACCCCAGTTTGGAACTCAAGATGGCTTGCTGTCACTTGTCTTTCTTGCTCAGAGCTGATGCTCTACCACTTGAGTATGCCTCCAGCTCAGCTTCTGGCCAATTAATTAGAGATGGAGTCACTGAGACTTTTTTGCCCTGGCTGGCTTTGAACCTGATCCTCCATATCTTAGCCTCCTAAGTAGCTAGAACGATAGTATGAACGTTGGTGCCCGGCATTGATCTATTGGCATTGATCTATTGCTCTTTAGAGCTTTATTTCTCCTTCTCTTCTCAATACATTGGCTTCTTTCATTTCCCCTAAGGTATTCTGGCTTTGTTTTTCTTCAAAAGCCATCCTCAGAATATTTTCATATTAAAATTTGGCAGTTGCAGGCGGAAGAGAAAATGATTGATGTTTGTTGAATTGATAAACATAAACAGAGCCAAGTAAAATTCAGTCAGTCCCTCTTGAATTAAAAGGACAGATGTAAAAATATTTGCCCTTGAAAGGTCATTTTCACCTTGAGCCAGTCTTCCTTCACATAAAATGTAAATGTGAAGCTCTGCTTCTGAACAGATCTGTTGAATTTTCTAATTATTTCCTTTTCTAGAAAGGTCTCCAAGCCCTTGAAGGCTGAAGTTTATTTAGGCTGGAAATAATTGATTGGTTTTGCACAGATTCTTTATCATGTCTGTTGAAACTAAAGAAAAGAATAGTGGAGCTGTGAAGGGAGAGGTCCTTCTTGCTGGTCCTCAGGGCTGACTTTCTTTCTTTAAAATTGTTTTTTAATTATCTTTACCTAATTGGACAAAGGAGCTCCCTTCAATATTCTCAGCCTCCTTCAGTCCACCCTCCACTTGTTTTTTCCTAATCTTGTGGTATACAACGAATTCCTGACTGCATTCCCCCCCCCCTTCATTGTCTCCTTCTCTCCCTTGGTCTCCCCCACACCCTGACCCTTACTCGTACACTTTTCCTAGTTTTGATTTTCTTGGGCTTTGATTTTTTACTTTCTTTTTTATTCTTTTTTTTTTTAATCTGTCATGAGGCTTGAACTCAGGGCCTGGGCGCTGTCCCTGAGCACTTTTTGCTCAAGGCTAGTGTTCTACCACTCTGAGCCACAGCTCTACTCCTGCTTTTCTGGTGGTTAATTGGAGATACAAGTCTCATGGACTTTCCTGCCCAGGTTGGCTTTGAACCACAATCCTCAGATCTCAGCCTCCTGAGTAGTTAGGATCACAGGCATGAGCCACCAGTGCCAGGCTCTCTTTTATTCTTTTGTGAGAACATTGTGCCCAAAAGAATAGATTTTCCCCCAGAAAAATCCAAGTTCTTTTTTTTCTTTAAATCTCCATGGCAACTCAGAAGAACAAACAATTTTTGAGGATGCTCTGATCTAGGAGCTCTGTTTCTGGTCCCAGCACTGAGATCCATGGGTAAAGTTCTCAGAGAACAGTTGAGGCTGGGAAGGTCACCAGGGCCAGATGTGGATGGGAGGATGTTGCCCCATGAAAGAAAGGAACTCTCTCCTTGAGGCCAGAAACTTTGTCTAAAGACTAGATGAATTCTGAAACCGTGCAGAGGAGGCACGTGAGGCAGGCCAGGGGAGACCAATTTTGAGAGGGAAGACTGAACATGGAGGAGATGAGCTAGAAGCTTCTAGAAAGCAGTCAGAAGATGGGAGCTCATGGAGAGGTCTTCCTCCAGGAGTATTTATGTCTCTTAACTGGGCCGTGACTTCCAAATCAGTCAGATGCATGGTCTCTGGGGGACTTTGCCGTGCTGCCGGCATTCTGTGGCCCGAGCAAGGAGGCTGCGGTGAGTCAGCCTTCAATCCAAGGGGTCAGTTCTCTGCGGGCTCACATGAGGCGTCCTCCCCGGCCACGGCTTTACAAAAGCCAGACACCTTCTAGACTCACACGCCAGTGCTCATAGAGGCAGTATGTCTCATTTCACATCTGAGAAAGATGGCAAGCCTGAACATTCTCCAACAGCTGATTCAGTTGCTAGTGTTCTAGTGATTTTTCCCTCCTAGTTCCTGTTCAGTCTCAGCTCCTCCTCCTTCCTCCCTTCCCTCCTCCTGCCTCCCTGCTTCTCCTTCTGAAGTTTTTATTAACATCCATTAGTTGAAGAAGGGGGACAGTGGTTTAATTATGGCCTTTCCACACTTGCATGCAATGTATATACCCCTTCAACCCATTCCTCCAGTCAGTGAACGCCATCTCCCAAACCCACTTTTAAAACAATTTCAACAGGTTTTATTGCTGTGTTTTCATATACATATGTAAGGTACTCTGGCAATCCTCATTCACTCTCTTCCTCCTTCTTACTTTTTCCTTCTCCTTATGGTTACTTTTTGTCTTTTTATGTTCCTTTCGTCTTACTCCAGTGGCTTAGTCTCAAAAATATTTTACGGAAGTCAGGCCTAGTAGCTCACACCTGTAATCCCAGCTACAGTGGGAAGCAGAGAGCTGGTGGACCCCAGGTCCATTGGGGCAAAGAGAAAATAGTTGCTCAAGAACATTTGCCTTTTTAAGACAGTGTGAAAAAATGTAAAGTTCCTAAAAATCCACTTGTCATAAAATGTAAAGAATCCACAGCATAAAAGAAAAAACTTGATTTGTTGAAGAACCGCTGCCATAATGATCATACTAAAGTTTTTCTGAAGAACAAACAAAAAAAATTGGATCAATTGTTCTTTGGTACACTGTAAAGCTAGCAATTCTTTTTCTTTTATTTGTCTATAAACAATCCTGATGGAGAAAACTTTCATCAGGGTTCGTCAGACCTGGTGTCACACATCTGTAATTCCAGATGCTTAGGATGTGGAGAATGGAAAATCATGCTTTGAGACCAGCCTGGGCAAAAAGTTGAAATCCCCCACCCCCATCTCAATAAACAAGCCAGGTGTGGTGGCATGGGTCTGTGGCACCATGGGCATGGTACCATCAACTCCATTGGTAGAGATGGTAAAGTTTTCCCGAGGTAGAAGAACCAGGCTCCAAGGCTGACCCATGTAGAACTGTAAGACCCTGCCTGAAAAATAACCCTACCAAAGAACTAGGCTCATGGCTCAAGTTGCAGAGCGCCTGTCCAATGAGTGAAAAGCCCTAAATTCAAACCCTAGTACCTCTAAATAACAACAAAACCAAACTCTGTTTATAGTTAACTATTCAAAGGCTTTAAAAAGGTTAGCCAGGTGTTGATGATTCTCTCCAGTAATCCTAGCTAATCAAGAGGCTGAGATCTGAGGATCATACTTCAAAGCCAGCCTGGGAGACAAATCTGAGAGATTCTTATCTCTAGTTAATTAGCAAAAAGCCAGAAGTGGAGCTGTGGCTCAAGTGGTAGAACACCAGCTTTAAACAAAACAGCTAGGGCACAGCATTCAGGCCAAGTTCAAGACCCAATATTGACACAAACTAGGAGATTAAATTAATTTGGGATTAATTTTTCTAACTAGAAAAATTATGCTAGTATGTCCTCATTTTTTCCTCATAAGGAAACATTTATTGTCTAACAACCCAAATCTCTTTTACATGTAGCTCTGATTACCTGTGATTTTGAATAGCCCTGTTGCTCATGAAGTCTGTGATCAATCTAGCTTTCTCCTGGAATCTTAGCACACACCAAGGCCAGTTTTTATATGTCTTCTAAATCGAACAAGACTATGTTCTAGTAGAAATGAAGTGTATCCTGTTGACTAAGTGAAAGGATTATTTCTAACATTCCTTAATCCATTGCAAAACCCCATAGGGAGATTCGGCCATGAATAAAACATGAGATCCACAGAGCCGAGGCCTGGGTTCTAAACACCCAGCCAAAGTGGGCAGTGCACTCAGACTGAACTAATGCAAGGCTCTCTCATTTTGACATTCATAATATGACAGCTAAAGTCTATGCAGCCTGAATCTTAGGTCTAAAGTTGTCTTGAAGTGCTTTAAGGTTGTAACACACTCCTTTATGACACAAAGTAGAAAACTTAAATAGAAGTGTGTGAAATGGAGCCAGGCACTGGTGGCTCACGCCTGTAATCATAGCTCCACAGGAGGCTGAGATCTGAGGATCGCGGTTCAAAGCCAGCCTAAGCAGACAAATCCAAGGGACTCTTAAATTAATCAACAAAAAAGGTAGAGATGGGCTTAGCTTGTCTATTTGTTCCCTCAGGGTTGCAAAATGACTGCAGAAGCTCCAAGAATCGTGTCCTCACACAACCTTTCAAGTCAGTTACCCAAAGTTCAGATACATCCATTTCTTCTAATCCTCTACAAACTTTATAAAAATAAACTTTCTCAGAAGCCCCTGGGAGACTTTCAGGATGCTAGAACCCTTCAAGTTCCAATCCTAAACTAGTCACTGACCTAAATAATGCAATTATCTTGTCTGGTTTCGATTGATCAAGATTGGTCTCATGCCTAAGGCGATCTTCCCTAGAGAACCTGAACTAAGTTTGATTTTTTTTTTGTCATAAATTGTTGTGCCTGTCGGAGGCTTGAATTCATGGCCTCATACTCTCACATGCTTTTTCACTTAAAGCTGGTATTCTCCTACTTGAGCCACAGCCCCACGCCTGGCTCTTTGGCAGTTAACTGGAGATAAGAGTCTCACAGACATTTTTGCCTGAACTGATTTTTGAATCGCCATCCTCAGATTTCAGCCTCCTGAGGTAGTTAGTACTACAGGCATGAGCCACCAGGGCCAGCTACGGGAAGGGTTTTCTTGGTGCAGAATTGGATGAACGTGGCAGGCATCTGCCTCTGTCACAGAGCGTGTTCAGCGTCGCTGTCTCCTCAGGCTCCGCTAACATCAACGACCGCAGCATGCTGGGGAAGCGCGACAGTGAGATGGCGATCATGGTGCAGGACACAGAGACGATCCCTGCTGTGATGGATGGGAAAGAGTACCAGGCTGGCTGCTTCGCCCATGGGCTTCGCCTGCAATGCTTCAGGTCAGCTCTCCAGTGCTGAGTCTCTCTCCCAGGGCGCCTCCTGCCCTGGCAGCCAGATTGGATGCTGGGATAGCAGTGTTCCCTAGTGCAGGCCGTATGCCCAGTGCAAAATCACTCCACACATGTGCACATCGCCGTTTTATTTTCATAGCCCTTTAGTTTTATGTACAATCAGACAAACCAGCATTTAAAATATATTAATTGATTTAAGACCAGGCCAAAGCATATGAACACATTTAAGCATTTAAAAGTCAGCTTATTTTTAAAAGTTGAACGGATTCAGTGGCACAGGATGCAACAGGAATTACTAAAAGTTCATCAGTGTCTACTGGTGACAGATATAAATGTGGAAACCTGTACGTTTGCAGGTTTTGTTTGAGTTAGTATGATAATGATCATTATTATTAGTATAAGTACCAGATCTGGAACTCAGAGCCTCACACCTGCTCAACTTTCTTTGCTCATGCCTGGCATTCTACCACTTGAGCTATGAAATGCCTCTAGTTTGGCCTTTTGCCAGTTAATTGGAGACGGAGTCTTACAGATTCTTCTACCCAGGCCAGGCTGGCTTTGAACCATGATCTGAATTTGACAGTTTGCTTGGCATGCTTACCTAAGTGGAAATAAAATAGTCCATCCTCTGGCCACCTCTGGCCTTGCTGGGTGCCCTTACCTGAAGCAGGCCTCTCCTGCTCGTAGTAGTTCCTCAGTAAAGCCTGTGGTTTCTGCAGATTTCCCTCTCCAGCCTCTCCTTCTCCCCTCCGCTCCCAATCCATGTCACCACCCAAGCAAGCTTGATGTGGTGGGTGCATCATGGAGGTCTCAGCAGACTGAGAACTGACTTCCGGCTCTTCTCCCCACTCCCAGCTAATGGCAGCAGCATCCCTCCAGCTGCTCAGGACCTAGCTCTGTCAGTCACCTGGGCTGCCACTTCTCCTCTCCTGAGCCCTCTCCAGATGTAAAAGCCGGCTCTGTCTTTGTTCCTCCCACCACCAGGCCACAGCCACCCTCGGCCTCACCACAGTGACTGCTGTGTCTCCTGTGTCAGCCCTCATTCACCCCCCTACCCCAGTCTGTGCTCCATCCAGCAGCCATATTTGCACATGTGAGTTTGCAGCTTCTTTTGATTCTGTTCCCTCCAGGACTCCTGTGACTGAATGCCTGACTTACTGTCACCACTAGAAACAATACAGGCAGCAACTTCTTTGGCACTCAGTCTGGAGGTTCCTTCTATTTCAGGGTTGTCCTGGGCTACCTTTCTGACCCAAGTGAGGACATCCAGGACCCAGTGAGTGACAAATTCTTCAAGGATGTGTGGGTCTCAACAGCAGCTCGAAATGCTACAGTGTATGATAAGGTGAGCTTTGCCTATTTCTCCTTTCTCCTTTTTAAAAATTAAATCTCCCCATGCACAAGAGAAAATCATATTGTTATTTCTGCATTTCATTTCTGCAGAATGTTTTTGTCTTGTTTTGCCACTACTGGAGCTTGAACTCAGGCGTAAGCTTTTTCATTCAAAGCTGGTGCCTTACCACTTGAGTCACATCTCTTCTTACAGCTTTTTGTTGTTAATTTAGATATGAGTCTCACAGACTTTTCTTCCTGGGCTGGCTTTGAACTATGATCTTCATATCTCAACCTTGTGAGTAGTTAGGATTTTAGACATGGACTTTCAATGCCCGCCCTGAATATTCTTAATGAGTATAAAAGATATAAGCCAGGCACTCGTGGCTCAGATCTGTAATCCTAGCTCAGGAGGCTGAGATCTGAGGATTGTGGTTTAAAGCCAGCCTAGACAAGAAAGTCCCCATCAAGCTCTTATCTCCAATTTTGCACAAAAAAATCTGGAAGTTGAGGTATGGTTCAAGTGGTAGAATATTAACCTTGAGCAAAAATGCTCAGGGACAGCACCCAGGCCCTGAGTTCAAGCCCTAGGACCAACACAAAACAACAAAAGTACTAGCATATATCCAGGTTGTAAAGATGTCTTTCCAGACATCAAAAAGCAAAGATCCAGTGGTCCTCACTTGATTGACCTTATATGGAAAATGAACCATACCCATGTGGGTAGGGACCGGGGATAGGAGAGGTGGGGGGAACAGAGCGAAGGAGCTGCTGACATTGTCCCAAAAAGAAATGGACTCATTACCTGACTTTATGCAACTGTAACCCTACCATACATCACCTTTATAATCACAAGAAAAAATAAAAATTATTAAAAAAGCAAAGATCAAAAAGAATCATGGGTTATAAAGTAGAAGAGACTTTAGTGGCACCCTGTCCCCTCATCTGAGTCAGGAACCTCATCGCGATCATCATGTTTAACAATGAAGAGAAGAGAACTACTCGGATCCAAATATGTCAGAACTGAGTTTGAATTTTGTCACCCACTGGCTGGTGATACAACTCTACATAGTCTCAAGCCTTCCTTTTCTCTCTAAAGATTGGGGGATATTCGTCAGAGTAGTGATGATAAAAAGATAAGCTAATAAATATATTTGGCACATAAACACATTCTAAATAATATCCTTTTCTTGGTGAAGTTTTTAAATGTCCTCGGTTGGACATCCCTAATTTTAGAAAAGTTGTTTAAGCCCAGCTTCATTTAATTCATAGCAGATACATCGCCTGGTAAGTTGTAGCCATTGGTTACGATATGGAATGTACAGGAGATAAGCAGTGTCTGACGGGAACTTATCACCTAAAGTAGCCAGTATCCCAAGACAGAAAATCATCAAGCTGAGATTCTGCTACTGAACAACAGCAACACCTAGATTCGGTCGGCTGCCTCAATGTTCTCGAAGAATGAGGCTACTAGCACTGAAGAAGTAAAATGCCACAGACTTACTGACAAAAAATACAAGCAGAGCTCCCACTGGACAGGAAGGGTGCCTCCCTCAAGCAAAGGTGTTACCTGGGGTGTGTTCTGCAGGGGTTCATAAGTGTCTCAGGGTGAGAGCTATGTGACTATCAAGACATTGGAAAACCACTAGGCCATAGCAGTCCCCAGGCCCAATCAGAGGCTCCACCCTGCCTGCATGAGCTCTCCATGAGCCCTTCTGATTGGTTGCCTGTTCTGGAGCACACTTCTGCGTGCCCTTTGTTCATGTGCAAGTCTTCCAGATGCAATGGGCCATGACATAATGCCCAAGGCCTCCATACACGACAGTAGGAGGCCATGATAATGTGATGTCTAAGGGTCTGCACGCAGGACCGCTCAAGGCCATGGCGAGGCACACCGACCCTCTAGGGAAGGGGGCCTTTGCCCTGATTGCCCCGCCAGGCTCTTTTTCTCCTCTCAATTTGTTGACTATTTACAACAAGTTGGGTAGACTCTGTTCTTCCCTATGACTTGAATTCCAGAGCAAGATTTCATCTTTCTTAATCACACATGACAACTCTCTCCATTGCTTTATTTCATATTAAGGACTCAGGCTATGATCAACTAGATTGTGTACATAGACTCTTTTAAAATAGTTTACAAATGCCGTGTGCTAGTCTTCTTTGAGATATATTTGAGGGGAACTATTATGTAAAAGACATTTGGGACTAAAGAATAATTCTGAACCTAAGATATAACTTAAGTGACATTGTGGAATTAATTTTCTTAGGTCTGAAGATAGTATCATAAACATACATGTCCTTATTTTTAAAACATCCATGTTGAATATACAGCAGTGAATTGTTGTGATGTCTGAGATTTGTTTTCAGTCAGCATTGTGTTACATGTTGATAATTGTTGACATTATCTGGGATGTACATCCAATGAGATCTTGGGATAATTGATATTCCCTAGATTCACCTCAGCATGGAGTAACAACAGTGAAATCCCTTACCAGTAGCTTGATTTTATTATGTGGTAGATTAGATAGAAGAATCCACAGGTTTGGGGAATGGGGAAAAAAAAACCTAGCTGTTGCTTTGTGGGTAGATAAGAACAGTAAGGCTAAAGGCTGACCTTCCTCGTGATCTCAATGTGATTCATAAGGCCCAGCTTTGGTTTACCAGCATGAAGCTTTTGCTTTCAAACTCATCACTCACTTTGCAGTTTGTGTTCCCACCAGGTGTTCCGGTGCCTTCCTAATGATGAAGTACACAATCTAATGCAGCTTCGGGACTTCATAAGCAAGCCTATCCTAGCCAGGGAAGATCCCCTTCGAGCTGAGGAAGAACTGAAGAAGATCCGCGGATTCTTGGTCCAATTCCCCCTTTATTTCTTGTCTGAAGAAAACCTCCTGCCTCCTGTTGGAACTAAGGAGGCCATAGTGCCCATGGAGGTGTGGACCTAAGACATAAGCATGGTTGCTGCTCATGGACTTCTGCTCTGAAGACTGCATTACACACAGTACACACAGAGGCTTCATGGGACCACACAGCCAGAGCTAGACCTGTTGCACTCCTGGATCCTTAGGAATGGCGGAGGAAGACTCCGTCATACACATGCGAGGCCAGAATTCATTAGTATAGAATTTTCCACTCCAATTCCTGTCCCAATGAAAAGGACTTTATTGTTAGTAGTAGTATAGAATCAATGATTTAAACCACAGGAGCAAATTCCATGATATATACCAAAATCCTTCTCCTTTGCTAGCCAAGATCTAGCAGTTACTGGGGTCCAGGTTCCCTACATCTCATTCTTCGCTGCCCCTCGTGTATACAGCCACCCTCTACTGGATCCGACTCGTCTCCTAGTCCACACTCACAGTGCTTGGGCTGTCATTGTGTGAAACAAGCTGTAAGGTTTTTTCAAGATTCCTTAAGGTTATAATGGAGCGGCCTTGTCCAGCTGGTTCTTACGCAGGAGTGTCCACACCCAACCAATGACTTGGTCAGTGTTCCTTTTCACATAGTACAGGGACAGGGCAGACTACACAGAAGGCCAGGCTAGGCCCTGGTGATAATGTGGATAGCCATCCGGATACCACAGAATGACAGGAAGGAGCATACCTCCCGTAAGCCAGATTTCACTCTGTTGCCAAAGCCACTGCCAAGATCAGTGCTTATGACTAAGCACACTTGATGAGATTGGAAACCCTCGGGTAGGATATGGGTGTATTGTAGTAACCAGATAAATCTCAGCAGGAGCCTTCAAAACTGCCTAGGTGTCCATGAGAGTCTGAGCGAGATAAGAAAGCTCCTTAGCATCTCCCAGATTCCCTTGCAGTCTTAGCTCCTGGCTTGATTGAAATTTGAATTTCTTCATTTCAGACTCAAAGCAGTGAATGCAACTTGTCTTTGAAGAAAAGCTATACTTAATGACTTCCAGCAACTTAATGCATGAGTCCATTTGACAGCCTTCTCATGATATTTCCCCTTTAAAACAAAGTCATTGATTAGAACCTAGGTACTCCTTTGCTTGCATGGTAAAATAGGCCCCAACATTCCACCAGGGCAGCTGAAGAAATTGTGCACATGGTTCATCCCATTGTGCTAGTCTATGAACCATTCTGGAAAGCCATTTCCTCTTTCTGGATGTGCAGGTACCTTTGATAGACCAAAGGTCTGAGTTTACTAAGCAGACTTCTGACCACATGAAGAGCTCAGGGGGTGCCCCAGAGGCTTGGGACTGGTACACGTGGTGCTGGTGTGGTGATGGTGCGCAGAGAGAGATGGCCAGGACAGGATCTCCCTTAGGCTCTTCTTCAGCGCAATCTCCCAGTCCCTGTTTTTATGAGCTGATATTCCAGTTGAAAAGATGTGCCAGACTTCCATGCCAGTGGTATCGGTTAGTAGAAGAGACAGCGTCAGACCCCAAGAAAGGGCTTTACAACCAGAGGACCAGGTATAAATAGGGTGAGATTTTGTGACCAATGGGAGGAGAAACATACTTCTATAGCTATTGTAAATAAGACATTTTTACATTGAAAGAGGGTGAGATTGCATATGAAGTACTAAATATATATTTAAGGAATTCTGTGTGTGCATATGCTTGCCCATGCCTGTGCCCGTGCCTGTGTCTATACTAGGGCTTGAACTTAGGGCTTGGACTACTCCTGAGCTCTTTTGCCCAAGACTAGCACACTTAAGCCACAGCTCCACTTCCAGCTTTTTTGCAGTTAATGGGAGAGAAAAGTCTCACAGATTCTTTCTGCCTGAGCTGGCTTCAAACTGCAATCCTTAGATCTCAGCCTCCTGAATAGCTAGGATTACAGTCACGAGTCACCAAGGCCCAAATTTTAAAACAATTTGTTTCCAAATATTTTCAGCCAATATGACTCTCGTGCATATAATCCTAGCTACTCAAGAGGCTGAGATCCAGAGGACCAACGTTCGGAATCAGTCCACGTAGCCAAGTGCTCAAAATTCCATCTGCAAAATAATCAGCAAAAAGCAGGACTGGAGACAAATCTGCAGTGGTAGAGTGCCAGCCTTGAAGCAAACCAAGCAGTCACAAGACCTTGAGTTCAAATTTTTTTTAAATCTGTACCACCAAGCTAAAACACAAAATTAAACCTTAGAAGTTAAAAAATACTAGCTTTTAGTTTTATATAAGATGTGCTTACCAAACCATGAAAAATAAAAGGTCCTTAAAGGACCTTTAGACACAACTCAAACCAGTCCCACTCCATGTACAGAAGAGACAAGTAGGGTTCAGGCTAGGGGAAGGACTGGTTCAAAGCCCCCTCATGTCTTCATAGTGGAGCTGGGACCTGCAAATGTGTGCCCCCCCCATGTCTTCCCTTCCTCATTGCCCACAAGTGAAACTGATTTAAACCGTTGTGAGCCCTGAGGCATTATGGGATTGTGTGTTTGTCCATCTCCACCTACTAGAATAGAAGCTCCATTGGGCAGAGACTTCACCGTGCACTGTTTTCCGTTGATGATCATCCTGAATCAGACATCAGCACGTAGGAGATGTCAGTCCAAGTTCATGGAAGGAAAAACGAGATAAAGGAGAGCACGAATGAACCAAAAAGCTTTCAGAATATCAGACAAGAATTCCTCCTGCTGGGTTCTGGGTCAAGTCTCTGTTCTGTCTTCTCAAAGCAAGGCATGGAACTGTAGAACAGCACTGGATGTGCCAAGATGTGTTAGTGGTACAATGGCTTTCTGTAGTAACAAGGGCCACGAAGATTTCATGGAAGACCATCTACCCACCATTCTTTCACACCATTATTCTCCACTAGAGCTTCATTTATCTTGACCTCACAATGCCTGATAAGAAATTACCTGTGTACATTATTTGAAGCCTTGAAAAACAATGATGAATCTGTTCTTCCAAATTGCCTATCATCTTTGGAAATACCTATAAATGGTGTACCTCATATCCTGCTGATTTCTGTCATTCTTTTTGATTTCAAGAGAGGAAAACAAAAGTCTTGTTCTTATAAGAAATGAAGGAGAGATAGTGTTGGGACTATTCAGAGTGGCCAAGCTCAGCCATTCAGCTGTTTAATGCCACTCTTCACATAGCTATGAAATGTGAAGTGCTTGGCTGTGGTGGTGGTGGTGGTGGTGGTGGTGGTGGTGTGTGTGTGTGTATGAGAGACAGGGTATATGTGTGTGTACTGGAGCTTCAACTCTTGCTTTGCTTTTTCTGCCCCACCTTTTGAGCCACACCTCCAGTTTGGCTTTTTGGTGGTTAACTGGAGATAAATCTCTCAAGAACTTTCCTGTTTGGGCTGGCTTTGAATGTTGATGCTCAGCTCTCAGCTTCCTGAGTAGCTAGGATTATAAGCATGAGCCACTAGTGCCCAGCTGCTGGCATGTTCTTCATTCTGAATACAATGTGACATAGAAGAGTCTATGTGGTATATCATGAGCCAAACAGTATTTTTTTTTCAGTTATGGGACCTGGGGCCTATCCCTGAGCCCCTTTGTGCTCACAGTTAGTGCTCTACCGCTTGAGCCACAGTGTTACTTTCATTTTTGAGTGGTTAATTGGAGATGAGAGTCTCATGGGGACTTTTCTGCCCAAGCTGGCTTCGAACCATGATCCTCAAATCTCAGCCTCAGCTAGGATTTTAGGTGTGAGCCACCAGTGCCTGACTACAAGTTATATTTTACACCACTTACTTTTATACCATTATTCTATTTTTTATACTATCTGTACTTTTTAACTTAAACATTGCATAAATGTAAATTTTATTTCTTTCTTTTTTTTCAGATGTGAGACGAACTTGAACTCAGTACCTGACGCTTTGTACATTTGGCTAGTGTGCTACCAACTGAGCCATGCCTCCAATCCCTATAATAATTATTTTGAAGTTTAAGTTTTAAAGTGAGATTGGAGAATAGCCCAATCAAATCCTAATTTTAAATTACCTTGTCCTGGAGGACATGTGTTTTCTCCCATATGAGACACAAAATACAAGCTTCCATGTAAACACACACAGGATCATGTGCTTATACACATGAGCACTCTGACTAGAGGACAGCATCCACAGGAGTGAACCTCCATGGAGCAAACCTTTAGAACAGTTAACATGCACTTTAACAAAATGAGTAAGGGGAAGCTGAAACAAGAGCGTAAGGGGGTAGCTTAGTGGCAAGATAGAGTTGGATGAATGAAAACAAGAACAAGACAAATACAGCCACAATATGCAGTGTGCACATGTGAAGGAAGTGGCAATGAGTGGGAAATGTGAAATGAGTCTGGAGGAGGGAACGGGTGGGGAGGATGGTGGGAGCAGGGACTCTGAACAGGAAGCACTGGGCACTAAGAAGGACCCATCTGTTGATGGGGATTGTATGAAGTGTTAGGTCACTTTTGTCAGTATGGCCATTTCCACACTGTTAATTCTACCCATCCATGAATCTAGGAGTTCTTTCCATTTCCTGATGCCATCTTCCATTTCTTTCTCCGGATTTTTAGTGTTCACTCTAAAGGTCTTTTGCTTCCTTTGTTAGGTTTATTCCCAGTTTTTGGAGGCTATTGAAATGGAGTGTTTTCCTGATTCCCCTTTCTGCTTGTACATTGTTGGTATACAGAAAGGCTACTGATTTTTGTGGGTTACTTGTGTGTCTTACTACTTTGATCTACAAGTTTGGGGATAAAGTCATTCAGGTCCTTTAGATATAATATGTCATTTGACTTCTTCTTTCCCTATGTGAATCTCTTTTATGTCTTTTCCTTGCCTTATTGCTCCAGCTAGGAATTCCAGAGTTATATTGAAAAGGAGTGGAGAGCATTTACGTCCTTGCCTTTTCCTGATTTTAGGGGAAATGATTTTAGGTTTTCATTGTTTAGTATGATGTTGGCTGTTGGTCTGTCATGTATAGCCTTTATTAATTTGAGGTATGTTACTTCTCTTCTTAGCTTCTCCAGAGCTTTTATCATGAATGGATGTTGGATTTTGTTGAAAGCTTTTTCTGCATCTATTGAGATGATCATGAATTTCTGGTCCTTGGCTCTGTTGATATGATATATTATGTTTATTGATTTATTTATGTTAAACTAGTGTTACATCTCTGGGTTAAAACCCACTTTATCACAATGTATTTTTTTATTGGTTGCTGAATTCTTTTGGCTAGTATTTTACTGAGAGCTTTGCATCTATGTTCATCTGAGAGATTGGTCTATAGTTCTTTTTCTGTTCTACCTGGTTTGGGGAGGAGTGTGATACTGTCTTCATAAAATGAGTTTGGAATTGATCCTTCTGTTTCTTTTTCATGGAAAAGTTCAAGGAGTATCAGTGTTCATTCAACTTTAAAAGTCTTACAGAATTCAGCTGTGAATCCTTCGAGACCTGGGATTTTCTTTGTTGGAAGATTGCTGATAACTTCCTTGATCTCCTTGCATGTTACAGTCTGTTTAAGTGGTTTATATATACTTGGTTCATCGTAGGCAGTATATATCTCTAGAAATTTATCCATTTCTACTAGATTTTTTTCATCTATGAGTATAGGTAGTCTCTCATAACCTTTTGAATTTCTTGGATGTTTGTTGACATCTCTAATTTTATTGATTTGAGTGTCTTCTCTCCTTTATTTTTCATCAAGTTAACTGGTTAGCAGACTGTCAGTTACATTGATTTTTTCCATAGAACCAGCTTCTTGTTTCTTTGACTTTGTATATAGGGTTTTTGTTGTTCTTCTTCTTGTTGTTGTTTGGTTTGTTTTAGTCTCTAGTTCATTGATTTCTGCCCTAGTCTTTATTATCTCTCTGTATTGCACTTTTGATTTTGATTTGTTCTGATTTTTCTAGAAGTTTTAATTGCATCAGGAGGCTATTTGTTTTATGAGGCTGTCTCTGATTTCTTTATGTGCATGCTTAAAGCTCTGAACTTTCCTCTCAGCCTTCCTTTTTCAGTATCCCAGAGGTTCTGGTATGATGTGTTTTCATTTTCATTGTATTATTGGAACTTTCTGATTTCCTCCTTTATTTCTGCAGTGATCCACCTGTCATTCAACAATGTGTTGTTCATTCTCCATGTGTTTGAATGTTTTCTGGAGTATCTTTCATTGTTGAGATCTAGCTTAAGTCCATTGTGATCAAATAGGATACAAGTAGTTATCTCAGTTCTTTTGTATTTCTAGTTATCTCAGTACTTTTGTATTTCTCAGCTTGTTGAGTGTCTTAGAATATGATCAGTTTTGAAAAAGGTTCTATGGGCAGCTGAGAAAAATGTTAATTGTGTAGTTGTTGGGTGAAATACACTGTAGATGTCTATTAAGTCCATTTGGATTACAGTGTCATTTAATTCAGAGGCTTTTTTGCTGATCTTTTGTTTGCTGTACTTGTTCTTTGGTGAGAGTGGAATGCTAACATCTCCCACTATCATTGTTCTGTAAGTCTAAGAGTATTTGTTTAATGGAGTTAGGGGTTCGTTTGTTTGGTGCATAACCACTGTGACTTCCTGGACCATTTCCTGTGGTTTCATGGTTGATTCCCTTTAGTAATATGTGATGTCCTTTCTTGTCTCTTCATACTGATTTTAATAAGAAATTATTTTATCAGAGAACTACAGCCTTCTTGCAGGATGAATTTGCATGAAAGATCTTTTTCCATCCCTTCACTCAGAATTTGTGTT